GGGGGGGGGGGGGGTTTAAGTGGTCTGTAATAATAATAATAATAATAGAAGGGTGTATCAATCTAAGGATATTTTATATGAAATTAATAGGAAAAAGGAGAAAAATATGCAGTGCCAAGATGTAAAGAAAATTGTTTAAACTTTTTTTTTTTAAATACCCCCACCCCACCCCCCCACCCCCAATCATACATGTATCGTGTGCACAATTTTGTTTTTTTGGGGGCATCTTTTTCTTGAAGCGGTCACTTTTAATAAGCCGACTCAAACACAGCAGGCGGCTCCACAAGATCATTTCTTCATCCATTACCAAACATCAGCCTGCTGCCAGATTACACACACACACACACACACGCTCTCACACACTTTTGTTTCTGGGTGGATTGTGGTGGGGTGGGGGTGGGGGTGGCTGCAGTCCAGGAGCTCCCACGGTGCTCTCATCCAGCAAAAGCTTTTTACTTTTCCTATTTTTCTACTTTCCTTTAAAATGTACTCTGTGTTTTTTTTCCCTCCTGTTATAAATTTTTATAGAGAAATATGATTACTCTTCACCTCCATTCGTCTGTAACCTCATCATCCCTCCGTCGGATGCAGACCACTCCTCTGTCGGTGGCCTTGACTGACGGGAGCATTTGAAACATGCAATAAAATGCTGGTTGTTCAAACTTGGATTTGTGTGTCCACAGTTATTTGTTATGATGCTGAGGAGGTGCAACACAAGCACCTCGTCAAAGGTTTAGGTTGACGTTCTGCAGCTTTGAAATGAAACGTGCACATTATTCACTAAACTGTGCAGCTTGATTGAAAATATTGTGAATTATTTACGTCTCAGTGTCGACACAACTGAAGAAAACAAGTGAAACACATGACAGACATCACAGCTGAAACTTCAGTTCAAGTTCAACCAGGTCACAGAAAGTTGGACATTTTGAGATGTTTTACCGTTTTGACACAATCACAACTTGAGATTTTTGTTATTTTTTTCCACATGATGTCTGACGGTGTTACACTGTGACTTTTAAAGGTGTTCAGATTATTTTACAGACTCTTCTCACTTCCGTAACTTTAAGGCACGTGTACCATTAAATGGATGATTCTTGTCTTTGTTCACTCAGTTTGTCTCTAACTGGTGTGTGACTCACACACAGCCTTGTGGTTTCCCTGGACTTTACTCAGTGTTTCTCTTTAAGAGCAGAAGTCAAGGCTCTTTGTAAGTTTTCACATTGTCATAAAACATCTGTCCATCATTTTTATCCACTGTCTTCAAGTGACGGTGACAAGTGTCCATGTCCAGCAGTCACTGTGCAAGAGGTGGGGGACACCCTGGACAGGTCTTCAGTCCATCACAGGGACACATGACAAACGAGACAAATATTCTTTCTCTCACTCACACCTAGGGACAATTTAAAGTTATCAATCAGCCTAACATGCATGTTTTTAGTCTGTGGGAGGAAACTGAAGTACCCAGAGAAAACCCACGCATGCACGGAGAGAACATGCAAATGCAACACAGAAAGGTCCTGGCTGGGATTTGATCAGGCGACCTTCTCGACTAAGAGGCAGCAGCTCTACCTACTATGCCACAGTGCTGCCACCATAAAACATTGTAGAAAGAAACAAAAAATTAATTGCATGAAAGTTTTCTATTGCTCATGTTTCAAAAATATGTATTATTTAATTTATTTATTCATTTGGATGGATGGATGGATAAGATAGATAGATAGATAGATAGATAGATAGATAGATAGATAGATAGA